TGAAATGAATTTGCTAAATGTTATGTTTGACCCAAATTTACATTTATTACCCAATAAGGTTATAAAAAAATTCTCCTAGCTTTAGCCCTAAGAACCTTGACACATGAGATGAGGGTTAGCACTACACATTCTGCTACTGTCAAGGGACTGAGGTAAACTAGATTTTTGTTGTTCATTTTACAATACCAACAAAAATTTAAACAACAATTTATCCACCTCCTTGATAAGTAGCAGAACTGTCACCATCCATGTGCAATTTAACCCTCATCATAAACCTCCCCTGTGCAGTTGCATCTCACAGTATGCCAGGAAGATTAACGAACCCAAGTTATTTTAGACCAGGAGGCTTGTTCTACTTTTGAGGGCTTCTTACAGTGAATGTTTTACTTGTAGTCCTCTGTCTTTGAAATTGTGGGGATCCATGTTGGGCACTCCCACTGATCACAACAAGACTTATGATAGAAGGTCTCTCAACTAATAAGCTCCCAAGCCATTTGGGGGTTTATAGGTCAAAATTAATGCCTTAAATCAGTCCAGGAACCAATAAGCAGACAGTTCAGATCATATAACTGCCATCAGGAAATACCACTAAATAGGCAGCCTGCAGATTCAATGTCTGGATTTAGTTAAGTTGTAAAGGGCAACAAAGTAATTGAGGCTTGAGGTTGCAATGGTGGGCATCATGGAAGCAAGGTCTGTGTCTGAAAGAAAATGATGTTTCAAAACCAAACATGCACAGAAGATTGTAACAGCAACTACCAATTAGCATTGCTTTATCACTGATTTTTGTGGTCACATTTCACTATAATCATAACCTGATACGTTGGGGCCATCTACTCAGCTCAAACATGAATAGAAAGATGTTTTGCTGTTGGCAAGGAACACAGTCATTCTTCCCTTAGATCACCATATTTTTTAAAGTGATGATATCTTGTTTCTTTTTAAACAGGAGGGAAGACAACATTTTGTAATAATCATCCACTGACTCCCACCTTTCTCTTTTAAAGAGAGTGTTGGCACAGGGAAAAAATTTCATTTTCAAATGAAAAATCCTGATAAAAATGGATAAATAAAGAATTTGACTTAAAAGGAAGTTAACAATCATGTTCCAAGACCGCAGACAATATCTGAAGAACACAATGGCTGTGTCTAGACTGGCCAGTTTTTCTGGAAAATCAGCCGCTTTTCCGGAAAAACTTCCCAGCTGTCTACACTGGCTGCTTGAATTTCCGCAAAAGCACTGACTTCCTACTGTAAGAAATCAGCGCTTTTTGCGGAAATACTATGCTGCTCCCATTCGGGCAAAAGTCCCTTTTGCGCAAAACTTTTGCGCAAAAGTGCCAGTGCAGACACCTGAGATTTGTTTTTCGCAAAAAAGCTCCGATAGCGAAAATGGCGATCGGGGCTTTTTTGCAGAAAAGCGCGTCTAAATTGGCACGGACACTTTTCCACAAAAAGTGCTTTTGCGGAAAAGCATCCGTGCCAATCTAGACACTCTGTTCTGAAAATGTTTTTAACGGAAAACTTGTCAGTTAAAAGTATTTCCGGAAAATCATGGCAGTCTAGACGTAGCCAATAGGTTTAACTTAAAGTCCCTACATGTCCCATAGCTATACCACCTTTGGCTCTGCTCTTGTGAGATAAGCAGTATTGAACCTGGACAGTGCTTTAATGAGAGAATTCCAGGTACTTTCAATCACCATAGGGCAGAACGAGAGCATGGAATCTGCCTAGAAGGATCAGTTAAATTTCAGAGATTTTATTTTAATCTCTCTCTCTCTCTCTCTCTCACACTTTTCTCATGCCTATGATAGGAATATGGAGAACTTTTAAAAGACACACAATGCGCATGGGTCCTGCTCTGATGACTGTCTATAGCAAAAGTCCATCTGAAGTTCCCTCAAGGGAAGATGCCATGTACTCTTATGGAATTTGCTGCAGCTGTAGATAAACCTAAGAAATTGCACACTAGGCCATCATAGAAAAGGAATCTCTATTCATGGGGAAATTATTCTTCAGTTCATTTAACAGAAGTAACAAGATCTGTAAGTGAAATTTTTAAAAAGTATAGAAATGCTTCTATATCTTGTTTATTAGTGGGACATTCATGCTAAACCCTAAAATCTCATAGAGCTTTATGATGTGGAGAACAACTAGTATTTAACAACACATTGAGGTGAAATCCTGGTTCCACTGAAGTTAATGGCAAAACCTCCAAATTCAAAATTGGAAATATGGTATAAAAAGATTACGATTTTCATGAGGATGTGCAGAAAATAAACATGTTAGGACAAAAACAATTTTCATATTTCTGAAAAGGGCAAACTATTTCTTTCTTGAATATTAAAGCATTTATGGTAATTGAATAGATATCGATGTCACAAACTTGCCATTAGAAATCCTGGTATTGGATACATAAAATAGGCAGTTCACAGGGAGGCAGAACATTGACAAAGAAAATGAAGACCTGAATGAATTAAAAATGTACAACGGGCATAATACATTTCTTTTATACTCTCCACTTTAAAAGATATTGCACTCCTCTGAGCAGCTCCTCTGCTTTTGCGTGGTCTAGAAGGTAATGTCAGCTTCCCTTGATTAGAGCATTAACTCATCATGCATTCAGTGAAGTGGGATGTCATTAAAAGTGAATTCCATGAGCACAGTGAATGGCTTCTTTAGGTGCTGGTAATGGTTCTATTGCTCTGATACTGATACTGCAATTTAAAGTAGGTCTAAAATCCCATTTGGCACTTAAAGTGTTAAACAGTCTCTAAATTTGGCTCTGTAATTCTTCAGATGACAAATGAATTTTCCACGTAATATAGTCTAGTAACATCTTGGACAAAGACTACTTTTGAATATTACTTTTGATGCAAAGAGTTATGGTCCTAAATCATGGTAACCTAATAGAACTATACCAAGAGTTACTCAGATCTAAATCCATGGTCAATCCTGCACCCCCTTCCTCTGAGCCCCAATGCAAACTTAACATTATTTTCCTTTTTTATTAAATTTGTCATTTTTAATGTTCAAGATAGTGATGTTTAGGACTATTCATTTTGATTCAGGAAAATGGAATAATCACAACAGTTAAGCAAAATCCAGTTAAAGTGGATTAATAAGCAAAGAAAAGACTGAAAGAGTAGTGATGTGGTTTACTGTACTTCAGTAAAAACTCAGTCCAAAGCTTTGCCCAACTCCTAAGACCCTAATGTCTTGGATGTGAGTCTTGGACCCTAATGTGAGTCTTGGAAGCAAGAACTCACCCATCCCTCTTTTCTGAGGCTTTGCCAGCAGTAAGACCCCACATTTGGGAAAGATCCATATCACATTTGAAATCAAGTCTTCTACACTGTACCTTGGACCATGGCAACTAGAGAAACTCCAGAGAGTATAATTCAAAATTGGGCAGCAAATTGTTCACAACCATTGGCAGCTCCCACTGATGCTAATGTGGGAAGGGCATGGAGACACCCCCCTGGGAGCACTGAGGCCAGGAATGTGTGGGAGGGCATGTGCTACCCCGGCTTGCCTGCTGAAAAGCATCATTGTTTGAGGCTGTATAGTGAAAGGATATTCGTGTGTGTTTCCCATCTGTTCTCTGGATTATTCAACTCTCCACTGCTTGAAAGTACTCCCCCCATGCCCCAATTTCATGAAAAAAGAAGAGATAAAAGAAGCACATAGTTGTGAGGCCCAGATAATGATCCTTTCTTTGTTAAAGCCCCCAAATGTGAAAACCCATAGAAAATCAACTCAGCCAAGAATAAACTTGTCTTCCATTTCCCTTCTTCCTTTTGTTCACCCTGCTGCTAGTCTCTATCACAGATTCTCCTTCAAACACTCCCTATCAACTCTGATACTTCCCAAGCCAGGAGACTCTTTTATCTTCTTCACCATCATGATAGCAGAGCACATTTCTTCAGGTCAATGCACAACTTTCTCTCTGACCCTTCAACCTAACAAATAAATGACACTCAAACATCAGAAGAAACTAATACATCCAGGACCAAGATCAAACAAAAAACACAATAACTATACAGGTCTGACCTAATCCCCTTTACTTGCCTTTGTGTCACTCAGAATAAAATCACTAAAACGTTAA